GGCGGGAAGCCTGCTTCTCCCTCTCCCACTCCCCCTGCTTGTGTTCCCTCTCTCGCTGTGTCTCTCTCTGTCAAATAAATAAATAAAATCTTCAAAAACAAAACAAAACAATGCAGGAGGGACGGGGACGTCTGGCCTGCTCAGTCCGGGAACACGTGACTCTTGGTTTCAGGGTCGTGAATTCGAGCCCCATGCTGGGAGTAGATTATTTAAAAAATAAAAATAAATAAAAAAGAGGAGGGTGATTCGGGGGGATTCTCAAGCTGGGTCTCTGAAGTTTCACCCATGGACATAAGGGGGCTTTGAAGGATAAGAAGGTTCTAGAAAGGCTCAGCTGGTAACCTCTGAGGCTTACACAGATGTGGATCCGCCCAGAACACATGCCCCTCCCCCGCTCTGTCCCCTCCAGATATGATCGCCCAGAGGAGCAGGGGCAGCAAATGCCCCATGGAACCGAAAGTGACCAGTGGGAGGGAGACCCTGCGTCTTCGTTCTGGGGGGTCTGCCTCAGTGGAGGAAGTGGTGAGTGAAGGGGAAGGGAGTCTTCAGGCGCTCTTATACCGAGCATTCAGCTGACTCAGTGGGACCTTGGGTAAGACCCTCTCCTTTGTCCAGCCGGCTCCCCTACCCGCAAAATGGGTCCTCCATGCAAGGCAGGATGGGAGTGCTGGCACAGAGTGCTGACTCTCCGCTCCGCTCTCACCGCAGGGGTGGGGCCTGCGGAGGGGCTGGGCTGGAGGGATCCCAGACTTCTGACCCTCTGCTGTTCCCCGCCCCAGCCCAGCAAATTTGAGGAGGAGGCATCACGGAGGGTGGATGACCTGCTGGAGAGTTACATGGGCATTCGGGACCCAGAGCTGGGTAAGGGGCCAGGGTAAGCTGGGTGGACCCTGGGGGGAGGACAGCCCACAGGGAGGAGTCAGAGGCCCCAAGAGGAAGTCACGGCCCAAGGAGCACCCTCACCAGCCTTCCCTCCTGCTTGGCCTGCAGCATCCACCATGGTGGACACCTCCAAGAAGACGCTGAGCGTCCAGGAGTTTGCACACCGTTTAGATTCCGTCTTGGGCGAGTTCGCCTTCCCGGACGAGTTTGTGGTGGAGGTGTGGGCCGCCATAGGCGAGGCCAGGGAGGCCTGTGGCTAGTCTGCCCTGGGGCCGAGCGCAGCCCCAGCCCAGAGCCCAGCCCCCTGCCCCAGCCCTCCTGGCCAGTTCCCGAAGCCCACCTCTGCACCAGAGCCCAGCCCAGATCTGAGACCCATCCTCGCTCTAGAGTCCAGGCCAGCTCTGGGACCGAGTTTACCTCTAGAACCCCTACCAATTTCAAGACCAATCCCAGCTCTGAGGCCAAGCCCTACTCTAGACTCCAGGCTAGCTCTGAGGCTGAGTTTATCTCTGGAACCCAATCCACTTTTGAGACCCAACCCAGCTCAAAAACTCAGCCCCCCTCCAGACCCCAGGCCAGCTCTGAGACCAAGTTCACCTTTAGAACCCCTACCAGTTCTGAGACCAAGCCCAGCTCTGAGGTCAAGTCTTGCTCTAGAACCAAGCTCAGTTCTGAGATTAAGCCTAGCTCTGAGACCAAGCGCTGTTCTAGACCCCAGGCCAACCCTGAGACAAAGTTCATCGCTAGAATGCAATTTAGTTCTGAGACCCAACCCAGCTCCAAAACCCAGCCCTTTCCTAGAACCCAAGACAGCTCTGAAGCTAAACCAAGCTCCGAAATCAAGTTAAGGTCTGGATCCCAGATAAGTTTTAAGACACAGCCCAGCTCTGAGATCAGTCCCAGTTCTGGAAGCCAGCCCAGATCTATGACCAAGCCCTTCCATAAAACTCAGTCTGATGCTGGAACTCAAGACAACCCCATGACTCAGCCATACCTAGACACCCGGTCTAGCTCAGGAACTCCCATTAATTCTGGAGCCCAGCTCAGACTCCAGAAACAGTCCAGCAACAGTAGCCACACCAGTTCAGGATTGGAAGATGGCTCCCAAACCCAACCCTGCTCACGAGCCCAGATGCCTGCTGCAGCTCAGTCCAGACCCAGATCCCAGCCCTGCTCTAAAACCCAACTGCACTCAAGTACCCACCCCCATCCTGGGGCCTGGTCCGGTTCCAGTGATGAGTCCAGCTCAGAGACTGAGTCCAGTTCTAGACCCCACCCTGGTGCTACAACCAGGCCCATCTCCAGAATTCAGACAAGCTCTGGAACCCCACCCATTTCTGAGGCAAGGCCTGCCTCCAGAGCTAAGCCTGATGCCGAGCCCCGCTCTCACTGCAGAACGCAGACCAGCTCTAGAATGCCATCTAACTCTGGGACCCAGAACAATTTTAAGACCTGGGCAATTTCCAGAGCTCGGTCCAGCTCAGGCATTCCACCCAGCTGCAGAACTCAGCTCAATTCTGAAGCACAGACTGGGTCTGAAATCCCATCCAGCGCTCAAACACAGTCAGTTGCTGAGACCCCACTGAGTTCAAGAACCCAGCTAAACTCTGGAATCCAGTCTAGCCTTGGGACCCAGACCAATGCAGCACCAGACGTAATCTCCGCAAATCTGTCTAGCTCTGAAAGCAGGCCCAGCTCCAGGACCCAGACTTGTCCAGGAGCTCAGTCAACTTCTGGGACTCAGCTCATCTCGGAAACCCTACCAAGTTCTAGATACCAGCTCCAAGCCACAGCCCAAGGCAGCTCTGGTATTCAGCCGGACTTTGGGAAGCAGACCAGCTCTGGAACTCAGCCAAGCTCTGGAGCCCAGATAAGTTCGAGAATTCACCCCATCTCTGGAACCCAGCCCAGCTCCACGATTCACTCCAGCCCTGAGACACAGCCCAACTTGGAAACCCAGAGTGATTCTAAAACCCAGCCTGTTTCTGAAACCCAACCCGGCTCTAGAACCCTGATCAGTTCTGGAACGCAGCTCAGACCTGAGACTCAGCCCACCTCAGAGACTGAGCCCAGTGCAAGCATTCAGCCCACCTCCAGGATTCAGCTCAGCCCTGTGACCCAGCCCAAGCCTGGAACCCAGAGCAGTTCAAGAACTCAGCCCAGCTCTGAAACTTACCTTAGTTCCAGAACCCAGCCTGTTTCTGGAACCCAGTCCAGCTCTAGAACCCAGACCAGTTCTGGAACCCAGCTCAGCTCCAAGACCCAGCCCAGCTCTGGGACCCAGAGCAGTGTAAGAATTCAACCCAGCTCTAGAGCCCACCTTAGCTCCAGAACTCGGTCTAGCCCTGAGACCTGGCTCAACTCTGAGACCCAGCTCAGTCGCAGGATTCAGTTCAGCTCTGAGACACAGGCCATCTCTGGAAGCCAGCCCAGTTCAAGAATGCAGCCCAGCTCTGGAACTCACCTCAGCTCTAGAATCCAGCCTCTTACTGGAACTCAACCCAGCTCCAGAACCCAGACTAGTTCTGGAACCCAGCTCAGCTCCAAGACCCCGCCCAGCTCTGGGATCCAGAGCAGTGTAAGAATTCAACCCAGCTCTGGAGCCCAGCTTAGCTCGAGAACCCAGTTTACTTCTGAGACCTGCCTCAGCTCTGAGATGCAGCTCAGCTCTGAAACCCAACCCAGCTCCAGAACCCTGATCAGTTCTGGAACGCAGCTCAACTCTGGAGCCCAGCCCACCTCAGAGACCCAGCCCAGTGCAAGAATTCAGTCCAGCTCTGGAGCCCAGCTCAGCTCCAGAACCCAGCCCAGCTCTCAGATTCAACTCAGCCCTGAGATCCAGCCCAAGTCTGGAACCCAGAGCAGTTCAAGAACTCAGCCCAGCTCTGGAACTTACCTTAGTTCCAGAACACAACCTTATTCTGGAACCCAGTCCAGCTCCAGAACCCAGACCAGCTCCAGAACCCAGACCAGCTCAAAGATCCAGCTCAGCTCTAGAAATGGGCTCCACCTACAGACCCCTCGCCTTGACCCTAGAACTGAGGCTGATCTCACTCCCCCAGCCCAACATCAGCCCCTAGGCCCACCACGCAGAGCTCCGACTCTGGGCCCTAGCACAGTCTCTCAGCCGCAGCCCCAGCCCCATGATCTGGTACATGGAACGCAGGCCAACACTGGCCTGGGCCGAAGCTCACCAACTTCCCACCTGGCCCCACAGCCACAGATCCCGTCAGCCCCTCAGAAACCGGTCCTCTTCCCCAAGCCCCAGCTAGGACCCCAGAAGTCCACCCCACCCACCGTATCTGTCATCTCTAGTTCTGCCCCCAGGGCAGACCTCCTGCATTCCCAGACCCCTGAATCCCTAGCCCAGAGGCCTGTCCCCTCCCACACGCTCAAGGAGTCAGGGCCTGCTCCTTGGGGGTCAGAGCCCCTCCCCCACCAAGGGGAGCTGTAGCTTGAGGGTGACACAGTTTTGGCTTCCAAGATCCCCCCCATCCTGTCTCTGGCCCCTCCCAGCCTGGGTCCCCTGGAAGCAGCAGGTGACCTCATTCCCCCAGCAGGTAGGGGTGGGGGGAGTAGGGAGAGTGGAAACAGGGGCTTTAGTTTCACTTGGGCCTGGCTCTGGGAGGTGTAAGCAGATCCTAGGTCTGTGGAGTGGAAAGCTGGGTGTGTGTGTGGGGGGGGCATGTGGGCAGGAGGTGGAGAAATGGGGGGCAGGAGGAATCTTGTCCTCATGTACCTCGAGGGCTCATGGGGAATAAAGGCACCTCTCCTTGCAGCTGGGTGTGTCATTTTTGGGGGAGTTCATGGGAAGGCAGAGGAAGGGGCAGGCATGAGAGTTCAGGGGGCACAGATGACCACACTGGATGCTTCCTAAGCGGCTGCTGTGTGCCAAGCCCTTTACTAAGTGATACGGGCGCCCTGCAAAGGCTCAATCACCTGTCCCTTCAACTGATGTTTATTGAGCACCTACTATGGGCCAGGTGCTGTTTGCTCAAGGCGCTGGAGTCTGAAGTGTTGAGTGAAAAAAACAGGTACCCCCCAGGGGTGCCTGGGTGGCTCAGTCGTTGGGCGTCTGCCTTCAGCTCAGGTCATGATCCCGGGGTCCTGGGATCGAGCCCCGCATCGGGCTCCCTGCTCGGCGGGAAGACTGCTTCCCCCCCTCCCACTCCCCCTGCTTGTGTTCCCTCTCTCGCCGCCTCCCTCTCTGTCAAATAAATAAATAAAATCTTAAAAGAAAAAACAGGTCGCCCCTCTGCCCCGCCCCCCCGCCCCCCCCAGCTCTGCTCCAGCTGCTGGCCGTGGTGGGCACGCGGTGGAACAGCGATCTGATGCGCCAACTTTAAAGACTGATGACTCCCAGACCCAAAGGACAGTAAGGCTGGGGGGGCCAAGATATATTTTGGCAAGAGAGGGGGTGTGTTGACTGTGCACATTCAGTATTTCCTAAGCAGAGCCTTCTCGGGTTGGGGTGTCCAAGGGGATCAACTGTACCCCAGGAAGCAGGTCAAAGTCAGGGTTCGGAGTGCCCCATTCCCAGAGGATTTCTGGAAGGGGAGGTTTGCAAGTCTCGTTTCCTCACACCCCCCCCCAACATGCCTGCCCACCCTTCCTGGGGCGGGCAGGGGGATGGGGAAGAGTTGGGGAGTCCCCAACGCTGATGGAGGACAGCCTACGATCCTGCCATTCAAAGGCTTGGTCCTTCTGATACTCCCAGCTCCTGGAACCCCATAACAGGCAGCTGTGACCGTCAAGGAGGAGGGAGATCTCGGGAGGGACGCGCCGGCTGGGGGGGGTTTCCGTGCGGCCGCCCCCTCGGGCTCTACTGCACTGTGCGTCTCTGGGTGAGCTGTGGCTGCAGGGACAGCGACCTGGGCCTGGCGCTGAGGCGAGGGTGGAGGCGCCGGATCACGGCCCTGCGGAACAGGATGTACACCCAGGGGTCGAGGATCTGGTTCCAGGTGGCCACACGCAGGTAAATGAGCAGCTGCTGCTCGGTGGCTCGGGACAGCTGCCCCGTGGGGCTCATGGCGGGAGGGCTGCGCAGCACCGTTTGAGCGATGAAGACCTGCCGGGGGTCAGAGCAGTTAGCCGGGGCCCCCGCGGCCCCTGCGAGACACCCGCCCCACCGCCGAGATTGGGGGGGACTTCTCTCACTGCCTTGCTGTGTGACCTGGGGAGGGCTGCCCAACCTCTCTGAGCTTCTGTTGATGTGGCTGGAAAATAGCGCAGTTTTCCTGCCCATGTCCTGGGGGCAGGTAAACATGGTGGGAAAGAAGACTCGCAGGTGTGGGCAGGTGAGTCACTGCCCGCGTTATTATCCTCTTAAACACGTTACCATTTATAAACATTTTACAATATAAAACTATACTATTCAATTGCACACTAAATATTTACTTTTTATATTCTATGTTTTATTTTATTTATTTATTTTAAAGATTTTATTTATTTATTCATGAGAGAGAGAGAGGCAGAGGGAGAGGCAGGGTCCCCTCAGAGCAGGGAGCCCGATGCGGGACTCGATCCCAGGACCCCAGGATCGTGACCTGAGCCGAAGGCAGATAGTCAACCGATTGAGCCACCCAGGCGCCCTATATGTTTTATTTTAAATAATTTTATATTATATTAAAACTTATATAATTTTATGACACGGTTTTATATTAAATAATTCTGTATTACATTTGTATATTGAATTATTCATTATTTTTATTACTTTTGAAATTTATGTTTAGTATGGCATATGTCATATGTTATTTACAAATATTATGTAAGAGGGGCGCCTGGGTGGCTCAGTCGTTAGGCGTCTGCCTTCGGCTCGGGTCATGATCTCAGGGTCCTGGGATCGAGCCCCGCATCGGGCTCCCTGCTCGGCGGGAGGCCTGCTTCTCCCTCTCCACTC